TGAATCGGCGAGTCACTGTGCGGAATCGTCCGATTCTCTTTAGAACCGGACGATTCCCGGTTTTTGAACCGATCCGGTACCTTTTTCGTGAATTCCGAGTCGAACCGGGCGAGTCCGGTTCGACTGGGCGATTTTTTAAACGCTGTGTGTATGTATATGAACCCTCCAATCTCCTCTCTGTACTATGGAAATGCATGTAAGTTAAAATATGGATGAAAAATAACACGCCAAGCAAAAAAAAGTACCCCTTAAAGCCCAAAAATAAAATAATAATAATAAATACAAAAGCAAAAAAAAGTACCCCTTAAAGCCCAAAAATATAATAATAATAATAAATACAAAAAGAGAAAAAACAAAATAGCGTCGGATTTGAACTTGGGTGGCTGTGGTGTATGTTGTTCTCTATTAAAAGTCTGTCAAATTTTGACATACTCTGAGTAGAAGAGCAATACATCTCAACTCGCATAATTAACGATTAAGGGTGACTATTTTCATACATTTTAAGAACACCTACAAATTCCTTACTTCTTGTTCCTCTGGGCTACAAATGATAATAGTATCATCTACATATTGTAAGTGAGAGATTGTTAGTCTAACAACATTAAATCTAGAAATAAAGCCTCTACTCACTACCGAGTTCAGCATAGTACTAAAACTTTCAGCCATAATAATATATAAGTATGGGGATAAAGGATCTCCTTGCCGAATGCCTTTTGATGCTTTAAAATAACTATAAGATTCTCCATTGAAAAGGATGGAGAAATGAGTTGACTTCAGATATCCCTAGATCCACATACTCCAACGTAATCTAAAACCCATTTTCTCTAATATTTCATGTAGAACATGCCAATATTATGTCTATAATATGCATTTTCAAAATCTATTTTACATAAAAGACTTCGTTTTTCCTCTTTTAGCCTTGAGTATATGCATTCTTGTACCAGTAAGATACTATCCATAATATGTTTGTCTTTGAGGAAAACAAATTGAGGACATTTCACAGCCAGATGTAATACTTCTCTCAATCTATTTGTCAAAATCTTTGCAACAATTTTATTGACACTCCCTAGTAAGCTAATAGACATTATGTCCTTCACACTCTCTACAATAGATTTTTTGGAAATTAAAGCAATAAAGGTAAAATTTACTATTGTTCATATTTTATCTCTATGATCAAATTCATCCATGAGTAAAAAAAAATCCTCCCTTAAATTTTACCTCTATTTTTCATCGTCATACATCTCGATATCGAGATGATCAATCAAAGGGTTTTTCAATATTAAAACTACCTTTTCCGATAGATTTTTGAGGTGCATCCGTAGTTCTACATTATAAGGTTGCATCTTTATATAAACGTTTTCCTTAAGAAATACCCTGTCATAGTTTATAGAGCATACTAGATTGTCGAGCTCCCTTTGCATTCGTCCTTTGCACTTTGATTTTTGAATTTTTGAGCCTCCAAGTTGTACATCAACACCCTTGTCACGATTTTTTGCAACATTTTAGTGATAGAGTCCAGAGAGTCTCTGTAATGGAGATTCATCGCATCAACAACCTTACTGATTTCTGAGGAACGCATGACTACTAATAACTTTCCAAGCTCATCATCTTCTTCATTTCTGGGGCGTCATCTGGTAAGTGATAGGGCAAGGGGATTGCCATGACTTGTTCATAATAATACATAAAAGGAGTTTAGCATGGGGCTGAGATCTAGCATTTGCTAACAAAGAGGCTAATTTAGCTTGTTTGGTTTTTTGGAGACAAACTTTCAATTTTCAAACCCTTGAAATCTCTCACCCAAATTGATGTATCCACCACTATACTGAACCTAAGAGAAGACTGAGCGTCCATCACTGATACTTATATTTGGGAAGTGGACTTAGTCGTTTGCTTTTTTTACTCGCTCTTATTTTCAAGCAAGAAAGTTACTCAACTCCACCACGAAAGATAAGGATGGATGGTTGATGTTGGGATACAGGTCAAACATCCAACACTGCAATTTTATGAAGTAAATAGTATATTTTCCCCATATTTTGCGAGCTTTTTTGTGGTTTTCATATTTATAATTTTCTTTAGGGCCCGTTCAGTTCCCTAGAAATACGACTCCTGGAGTCTCATTTCCATGGAAATAGCGGACTGACCTGTTTGGTTCCTTCTAGAAATGGAATTAACGTTTCCAAAGCAATCTATCCTTTATTTTATTTTTTTAAAGAAATAATACAATAGAAACTTTTGTATTTCTAAAAGATACATCTTCTAGGCAATCCAAACAATGAAGATGCATTTGTTAGGTCTTTGCCAGATGCTATCCAAACAGCATACACCCATCTTCCAAACAATGTCAATTTGGGGATACCAATTCCAAGATACACATTTCATTTAAGAGTCCCATTTCCAAGGGACCAAACAGGGCCTCAACAAACTTTGGTCAAAGGATATGCAAGTTTTGAGCTTGGCAAACAAGCAGTGGTGGTACATAGGGGTGGCAATGGACCCAGGACCCAATGGCTAGACCTCAACCCCAATCCGGGTCAAAGTTTTGGACCCCGAACACTATTTAGGTCTGGGTGTAGGTCCGATGGGGTTTGGGTTCAGGTCCCACATCATATTTTCAGCTCCTAATTTATGAAATATACTTAAATATTTTAAATATATAAGTATTCTAATTTTTTGGGTCGCGCCGTGTCCCATGTATATTTTTTGCTCCGGATACGTTAACTTCTGGTCCAGTCGGATCCAAATCCCATAATATATTTTCGAGTCCAGCTTGAGCCCGACCTGTTGCCACCCTTAGTGGTACGGCTCCTTTAAGTATCGAATGACTGAATGAGTAGGGGGACGGCCCTCCACTTTTCCGTTAACATGTTAAGAAAAAATCGAAGAAGTGGGAGAGGTAAAAAAAAAGTCGGATACGTAGGAAAGAGATGTGAACCCATATCTCCTTCCTCGTGTGAGCCTTTATTTCTTTTTTTTATTTTTATTTTTTTCAGAATGCAGTTTCTATAAGGCCTAAGCTTTATGAATAAAAGTAAAGCCTTGTCCGTAAAATACTTTGGGCGGCATGTGAAATCTCTATGATAGCTCCAAATCAATTTCCACCACTTATTATGAAATTTGCAGCTCAATAAATAGTACATATCTTAAAAATGAACAATCGAGATAATATATTACAATATACATAATTTAAGGTTGAAATCTTGAGTTTTTTTTCCCAACTATATAAGTTAAGGTAGAGATGATCGATTTAAAGGTTTTTCAACACCATAATTGCAATTTTCCGATAGCTTTAAGATGAGGCTTGACTTAGTTTGATAGAGTTGCAGCCCTATGAAATCCACAAGTAGAAATAAACTTGTGGTTTGAAACATATCCCAAGTCACTTTAAATGCATTTTTTATTTATGTCCATGATTTTGTGGCATAAAAATAAATGCAGATTTGATGATATGTAATGAAATAAAATGAGTGGTCCAAAGACAAAAGTTAGTATAACAAAAAATAAAATGAATGTACCAATCTCAACTGTCAATTTCTCAACTATGGATGGCAAAGACAAACTCTTCCTCTTCCAGATTTCATAATTACCGAAAATGTCAATTCATATGGATCATTTGTTGTTGAGAATGGTTAAAACCACAAGTAACCCACCATTTGTACGAGAAAAGCATATCATAAGATTGTCTACTATTTGTTTAAGATGGTCACAATCATCATAATCATTTGTAGCCATTAGATGTGAGTCAGATAGTTGGTGGATATACCACTGGTCTTTAAAATCAAAAAAAATTCTTCTCAAGTTTTGTGATGAAATTGTATCCACCTAATTGTATATCTGGCAGCCAAAAATAAATCGCACGACCTTATACCAAAAATAAATGATTTAATGTACCAACATAAATTTTGAAGCACATCGAATACACTATACTTTCTTTCTTTTGAAAAGACAAGCATCTATGCTTTATTAATGAAGAAGTTTCTCACCCTTAATTAAAAACTTTACACCCTCTCTCACATTTCCCCACGTGCTATTCTGCGATATTTTAACTAGGCAGAAAGAGAATAAACCTCACTTTTTCTTATTCTAAATGCAGGCCGATATTTAGAGCACGTGCTTAAACTATTGCCATAAACTCCATTTAAATCCACCTTCGAGGTCCGTCAAGGAACCCAATTGCCTTGTCATCGACGTCCTTCCATAGGCTCACTATCTGTGTATCCTGAGACAAGATCCTGGCCGTCCGATTCCTCGACAAAAAATTCAGACCGTTCGATGGAAAGCAGACAGCTTGGTTGAGACATTTATCCTCTACAAATATGGAAGCTTTTCAGTTCAGTATTTCACTGAATTTTCGTCATAGTTTCGGCTTTGGATCATTTTCTTTTCGGCTGCGATCTTCGGTGGCTCTCCAATTCAGCTGTGAGCCGCTTGATTGCATTGCTAGGTTTTATTGTTATACGGTTTGAAGGATATAAGAATTATTTCAATTAATATGAGTGATGATCCTTAAGAAATACGTGGTACTGCAGAGAAAGATTTTGTTGGTTATTTTGCTTGAATTCAGTTATACATGCAGGAATTGCTTGTTTTTTGAAACAGATTTCTTTTACTCTTTGCTGATATTTTTTGTGAAATTAATGGAAGAGTTTCTTGATAATATCCTAGTTTAATATCTCTAATCTAAATTAGATCCACTGAAATTCATCTTATCAATGATGTTTCCGAAATCATGTTTACTTTAAAGCTTTAAATCTAAAGATCCATCGTCGTTGCCATCATCATGGTATTGATTTTTTGACATTGAAGTTGCACAAATCTTTATTATCTAAGAGTTTTACTCTCTCTCTCTCTTTCTACTCTCTGCTTTCACACTCTGTTAGCTCTCGCTCTCTCTCTCTCTCTGCCTCACTCACAAAGCCCTCTCTCCCATAAAGCCCTATCTTTTTCTAGAAGCAGATTGACCACCTCTCTCTCTCTAAAATCAGATTACCAACAAAAGGCACAAAAGGATCAGATCAACCACCTCTCTCTCTCTAAAATCAGATTACCAACAAAAGGCACAAAAGGATCAGATCAACCACTTCTCTCTGTATGTAAAATCATATTACCAAAAAAAGGTATGTATTTTTTGTTTGGTTTCAGAAATTGGGTTTTGTTTTTTAGGGTTTCTCATCTATATTAATCCATGGAAAATTAATGGTGCGTTTTGTTTTTTCTTTGTGACGATGGAACTGTGTTAATAGTACTTTTTACTGTTACTGTTTCTGGTTTCTTGGAGCTTGGTAATGTTGTAAACTTTGTATTCTATTGAATTGCATTGATAATCTGATATTTCATTTGGACGTAGGATGGTGCTCTGAGTTGCTTGAATTTGGTTATAGTGCTCTGTTTTTGCTTCGTGAATTCGATCTCTTCACGCTTCATGTGTTTCATGGCCCAGTTTATTGGGTTATCTGGCAGAACTATCAAGCTTATGATAATTTTTGTGGGATAATTTTAGTTTATTCAGAAATTTATTTGGGTACATGAATTTTAAGGCATGGATTTCTAATATCTTGGATATTGCCAAAATCCACTGCTTGGATTGTTTAGTGACTAGAATACTTAAAATCAAGAAAATCAAAATCATGGAAATAAGACTTACTTTTCCATGATTTCATTTTCACACCAAAACCTATATTTTTTTTAATTTTCAAGGTCCACGGATTTCACTCATTGGCTCCCTCAACCCAAAATATAGGAAAAATTTGGTAGGTATGAAACTTTTAGAGATAGAGAGTACCTATTTTGTTTTAAACAGAGAAACTATTTCAAAATTTTTAGAGAGAGAAACTATCTCAAATTTTAACTTTTAGAGAGAGAAAGTATGTTAAAATTTTAGAGTGAAAAAGTATCAATTTTTTTTAGAAAGGGACACTATCTCAAATTTTAAGCTGTAGAGAGAAACTATCATATTTTAGAGAGATAAACTATCTCAAATTTTTAGATAAAGAAACTGTTTCAAAATTTTTAGAGAGAAACAATCTCAATTTTTAAATTTTAGAGATAGAAACTATATCAAATTTTAGAGAGAGTACCTAAAAATTTTTAGAGAGAGAAACTATATCAAATCTTAAGCTTTAAAGAAAGAAAGTATTCTTAAAATTGTAGAGAGAGAGTATTTTTTTAGAGAGAAATTATTATAAATTTTAGAAAGATAAGCTGCCAAAAAAAAAATTAGAAAGGGAAATATTTTAAGTTCTTTAAAGAGAGAAACTATCTCGAATTTTGAGTTTTAGAGAGAAACTATATCAAATTTTGAGTTTTAAAGAGAGAAAATATATTAAAATTTTAGAGATAGAAATTATATCAAATTTTAGCGAGAGAAACTACCTAAAAATTTTAGAGATAGAAAATATCTTAAAATTTTTGGCGAGAGAAACTCCCACAAAATTTATGTTTTGGAGAGAAAGTGTCTTAAAATTTTAGAGAGATAAACTATATCAAATTTTAGGTTGAGAAAATACATGAAATTTTTAGAGAGAGAAACTATCTCAAAAAAATTTAGTGAAAGAAACCCTCAAAATTTAAGTTTTGGAGAGAAAAAGTATCTCAAATTTTAAACTTTAGAGAGAGAAAGTATATCAAATTTTAGAGAGACACTATATCAAATTTTAAATAGGGAAACTATCTCAAATTTTAGAGAGAGAAACTATCTCAAACTTGAAGATTTAGAGAGAGAGAAAGTATCTTAAAATTTAAGAGAGTAACTAAATCAAATTTTAGAGAGAGAAAGGACAGAAATTTTTTTAGAAAGATAAACTATTGTCAAAATTTTTAGAGAGAAATTAACTTTTAGAGAGAGAAAGTGTCTTAAAATTTGAGAGAAAAACTACATCATATTTTAGAGAGAGAAACTACTTAAAAATATTTAGAGAGAGAAACTATCTCAAAATTATTGAAAAAAGAAACCATCTCAAGTTTTAAGTTTTAGAGAGTCTTAAAAGTTTAGAAAGAGAAACTATATTAAATGTTAGAGAGAGAAAGCATCAAAACATTTTAGAGAGAGAAACTATCTCAACATTTTTAGAGAAACAATTTTAAATTTTAAGCTTTGGATAGAAATTACGTTAAATTTTAAAGAGAGAAACCATATCAAATTTTAAAGGGAAACTATCTCAAAAATTTTATTGACACACTATCCCAAATTTTGAGTTGTAGAGAGAGAAAGTATATTAAAATTTTAGAGAGAGAAACTGTATCAAGTTTTGTTGCCAAAAAAATAGACATAGAAGTAATTGCAAAGAATCATGAATTTTTTATAGTTTATCCAAACACAAGATTTAAAGAATCCATGACAAAAATCTTTGATATTGAAAATCTATGGATTTTGTTGGATTTCAAATATCTAAGATTCTTAATTTCTGCTATCCAAATGGCCTTAAGGACTTGTTTGGATACATGGAATATGGGACATGGACTTATAATATATCTTGGATAATACCAAAATCCATTGTTTGGATTGCTTAAAGACTAGGATACCTAAAATCAGGAAATCAAAATCATGGAAATGTGACCTATTTTTCCATGATCCCATTTCCTCCCAAAAAATGAGACCTTTCCATGTCGCAGAAACTCCCCAATCCAATCCTTCATGCCATGGCTCTCTCTCTCCAACCAGGTAATCCACTGTCCCTCCCACTCTCTCTCTAATCAGGCCATGGCCCCTGCTCTCTCTCTAAGCCCTCTCTCTCATACCACAAACACTCTCTCTAAGCCCCATCTCTCTCTCTCTCTCTAAGCCCACTCTGTGAGCACCGAGATCTATTCTCTCTCATTTTCTTTCTAACCAACGCTACCCCCTCTCTCTCTAAGTCATGTCTCTTTTATTCTTTAGGGTTTTGCTTGACTATCGCTGAATCGTTCCCCATTGTCTCTCTTTTAATGTTTACAGGGCTTTGCATATTTTTTGAAGTATACACACAAGGTTGGCTTGTTCAATCTATCTGCAAGCACACAAATAAGTTTGCAATTGGGGATTTATTATTTTTCCTACCATTTGAATTGTAGAAATATAGAACAAATTTTGTATCTGATTAATTGGGTTTTGGTGGTTTGGGTTTTTATCTTTATGTTCCTTAATGGTTGAGTTTTTCACAGTGAGGGATATCTGGTTTTTGATGGTTTAGGGCATTGATTTTATGCCTTGTTGGTTGATTTGTTTTGTGGGTGAGCATTGTAGTCTTAGCCAAAAGACTGGTGGGTGTTTAATTGTTTTCATTGAGTTTGATTCATGTAATTTTGGGCTTTCTTATGAGTTATTTAGTATATTGTGTAAGTCTCTCTATTTGATTATGATTGACTGAATTTATTCATTTTCATCAGCCTATGCATTGTTTTACTGTGTGGGTTCTGATAGATCTAAGTTTTTTGTATATTAAATTCTTATAGCACTCTTAAGATTGGATGATACAGTCTAAACCTAGTTGTGGATTTATTATGAATATTTTTGTTTCTCTATTTGTGAACAAGGTACTGATCTCTATCTATTAAATGAGTTACTGATTTTGTCCATTTTCATCAGTTCATGCATTGTTTTGATTTTAAGAATCTCATAGATCCAACATACGCATATCAAATTTTTGGTTTTGTAGGAGCAAAAGCATATGTTGATCTTCCCATAGCATAAGCACCTCTAAATACAAATCTTGTCAAACTAGATTCATCTCAAATCCAATACTAATTCTTTTTTCCACCAAATTCATTCGCACATATTCAAAGTTATCATCCTCTTTTCAGGAATGCTTATTTGTTATTTGTTTCCAAACCATATTCTTCCTTCACAAAGAATTAATCTAGCCTTGAACTTATTTATAAGCTTATGGCTCCTTTGCTTTGGAGGGTAGGGTTTAGGGATTAAACCACAATGGCATGGGGTTCCAAAGTGTGTCATTGTATTTATTGCATTGAATTAGCTCATATCAAGTGGCTTAGCAAATTAAATAAAACAAAAAACAACCTTAAAAGTTCTGAATAAGATTAAAAATTTAAAAAAAGTGCACCTAAAAGGCGTTGATTAATATTTAGGACTAGCAAATCGTCCAGCAACTTAATGTAGTGAACGATTGATTCAATATGGGCAAAGTTGCGCTACTCTAACAACATAGTTTAGTTTCCTAGATTTAACCATGTGGATTGTTTTTATCTAATTTTCATAGTGTGAACATTACAGTTTGGGAGACTATGTTTTTGTGATTGGAACTAATATTGTGCATCTCCATTCCAATTTGGATGCATTTCAATTTTATGATAACATCTTTATTATTCGTATTTTACTGTTTAATTTCCCATTTGATATTTAGCTTTGTTTCTTATCTTTTTGCAAGTTATTTAAGTTCTATGCAGCTTTTAAGAATGAATTGTCTGAGAATGTGGCTTTATGAATGATAGATGTCTAATAACAATGGGAAAATGTCTGTACTAATGAAATGGAAACGGAAGAGGACGATGAACTTGATATGTTAACCATGCTTATGTTGGTAGTTGCAACTACATGTGTCGCAGCTGCGGCCTGGTATCATACAAGTTATATAGATAGAGAACCAAATGTGGATAGAAAGAAACAAATGCATAAATGGAATCATTAACGTATCAAATGTACAATGTCGGAACCAATTGAGATTGAGTAAGCATGTTTTTCTTTATCTTTGTAACATCTTATGGGATAGAGGCATTCTGCATCCCACAAGAAGGGTGTCTATAAGAACAATTAGTAATATTTCTGCACACTCTTAGCCACAATGTTAATAATCGAGAGATTGGCAACCGATTTTCTCGTTCCGACGAAACGGTTAATCGATATTTCAATGTTGTACTAAATGCAGTAGTGGGCCTCTACTCAGACTTTATGAAATAGGCTAGCTCTACAACTCTTACAGAGAACAACAGTCAATTGGCCCCATATTTTAAGGTGATTACCTATCACAATCTCACATTATTTATGGTGGATTATCATTCACATATTTTAAGGTGATTACCTATCACAATCTCACATTATTTGTGGTGGATTATCTATCACAATCTCACTTTGTTTTCAAATATGTAGATTTTCCTAATAACATGCTTACTACCTTCTTTATGGTGAATTTAAATAGGATTGCTTTGGTGCAATCGATGGGACATACATCCCAGCCCATATTCCTACTCACGAGCATGCAAGATTTCGTAACATGAAGCAATTTATATCACAAAATGTTATGGTAGCAGTTTCTTTTGATATGAAATTCTAATATGTACTTGCTGGTTAGGAAGGATCTACATCTGATGCACGAGTACTGCACTCTGCACTCAGTAGAGAAAATAGGCTAGTTGTTCCCAAGGGTAAGAGACAATATAAGAAATTAGAGATTATAAGTTTGTAAATAAGCTTATATAAATCGATAACATGTTGCCTATTTCTTTGTAGGAAAGTATTATATTGTGGATACTGGAAATTGTAACACAACTGGTTTCCTCGCTCCATATTGCCATACTCGGTATCTCTTGGATGCTTTTAAGACTAGTTCTGCCCCTCAATCTACTAGAGAAATTATTCAACCTATGCCATTCATCGTTGAGGAATATTGTAGAACGTGCTTTTGGAGTGATAAACGGGCGTTTCCCTATCCACAAAATACCACCAATGTACAGTGTTCAATCACAAGCTAAGATTGTCATAGCTTGCCTAGCCTCATCAGGGAGGTAGAGCGTGATCAATTTGACATGGATAATATTGAGGAAGTGGGGAGGGGGAGGGGGAGGGGGAGGGGGAGGGGGGGGGGAAGATGAGGACGATAGTGAGGAAGAATTCGAGAGGAACTATAGAGTGAGTAGCTAAAGGTATAATAGTTGTTATTCATGTATTTTTTATTTTATCAATATAAATATTATTTGCTCATAAATGTATGTATTGCTCAATGGCAGGATTATCCAAGAGCTAATATATATAAAACTAAGGTGATACCTTTCTTTAGTTCTTTGCCCATTGTACGTGGGGATGATAAGGCCGATAGAAGATATGGTGTGGTTGGAACGAATTTAGAAGACAATAGGCCCCTATAGATGATATTGGATGTGACAGTGAGGGGGGTGATGACCATGACATCGGTGAATCAACAGTTTCTATGCATGGAGAAGGTATATCCCGGCAAGATATTACTTCATCAGCTTCAAAGAGAAAACAACCAGAAACGAAGCGAAATCGTGTGGGTGAGGCAATTACCGCTTCTATTTCTAAGATCGTTGTTGCTTTTGATATTGCATTAATGTTCATAGATATGGAGTTGGAGTTACACAAGGACCGGTTGCTCTTTCTACTTGATTCTAGTGATTGATTTGTAATCTACTAAAAAAACTTAATGATGGGTCAAATGGATTTATGAAAGTTGTATTGATTGTCGTGTGTGATAACGTTTTTGTGGTAATATGATATGAATACTAACACCTTGATGGTCATAACTATTTTTTGATCGTGCTTGATTGTTATGGCTTGTTAAGGCCATGAATTTTGTGAATGTTATGGAATATTATTGAATATGATGGTTATGGATTGTATGAAAGTTATCAAATGCGATTGAAGTTTTATATACTGAAAATGGTCATGAATGGTAGGGAATATGATGGTCATGAATGTTATGAATGGTAGGAAACGTGATGGGCATCATTATTTGGAAATATTTGATGGGTTTGTAAGGCAAGTGATGGTCATGAATATTGTAGAATAACTATGTCTTGTTGAGTAATTATGCATTATTAAATAATTATGTTTTGTGAAATATCAATTTTTAATAAAAATCATATTTTTTTAGATAATCATAATTTGTTAATAATGAATGGTAGGGAATATGATGGTCGTGAATGTTATGAATGGTAAATATAATGGCCATCAATAATATGAAATATTTGACGGCTTTGTAGGGCAGGTGATGGTCATGAATATTATAGAATAATTATGTCTTGTTGAGTAATTATGCATTATTAAATCATTATTAATAATTGTCTTGGTTTACTAATATTCGTGTTTTCTAAAAATGTCATGTTTTATTAAATAATGGGAAAGGTTTATATAGAGCCGAGGCTTTAAACAATCAAATTTGAGCCTACCTCAAAAATTTCACTAGAAGATGTTTTGTTGGCCAAATATCTTAAAATTGATCATCTTGACATCAAGATGTATGGACATGAGAAAAAATGGATTCCAAGTTTTGGAAATAGTGTATTTTGTAATGAATTTTTTGAGCATCAATTTTCAAGATTTTCAAGTTTTCATGGGTATGTCGATCTACACTATTTTTTATGCTTTAAACTTTATAAATAAATATGAAAATATATTTTAAGGCTATCACAAAGATTTTCAATATTGAAATCACATTTCTCGACATTATTTGAAGGTGGGCTCTAATTTGATTGTTTAGAGCCCAGGTTCTGTACAAACCGCACCTTAAATAATTGAATAGTATTTTCTAATAACTATTTACCTAACTATTACCTAATAATCATGTTTCATTAAATTACTACCATTTGTTTTTTTTGTTCTTAACAAATTGAAAATCTATAAAAATATGTTCGATTACCAAGCAATGGAAATGGAAATGATTGTAAAGAATCCATGAATTTTGTATCGTTTATCCAAACAAGAGATTTGAGGAATCCATGGATTTCAAATGTGTAAGATTCTTAAGTCCCTCCTATCCAAACGAGCCCTTAGTGTTTATCAATTCACAACAAATTTGTGAAGTTGGGATTGGTTAGATATGTATGCCATACTAGTGAGTTTATGAAGTAAGGTGATTTGATGTCAATCAGAACATTGATAGCATGAGTTTTTTTTTAAGACATTTATACTGATGCAAGAAGAAATTCAGAATATAAAAACTAAAATTCATAATGAACATTAAAATAAGAGAAGCTACAAAGGGGAGTGAGAAGCAGTAAAAGCGCTTTAAAAAAGGCATGTGTTTTGTTTTGGCATTTTCTCGAATGGATAAATTACGTGTCATGATAGTTGAAGTGGAAATTGATATATGTGGGGCTTGAATGTGAATATTCTATGTCACTTTTTTCAATTTATCATGAAGCTGGGGTAATTTTCTTGTTTGAGTGTGGACAATATTAAATTGATGAATTCCGTAAAAATTTGGAATAATATGGAAAAGTTATAGTGGATGGTGGTTAAGAGAAAGCTCCCCCAGTACAATTTGCTTTATTGAAGAGCCTAAAAATCTAGTTTTCATGGTTTGAGAGGCAAGTCATGATGCATGTGATGATGTTTGTAATTTTTATTAAAATGCCATAATTTTAATAAAATGGACATGCTACTTTGAATTTGAAGTTCTTTTCAGCTGCATTTCCTTTCTCACAATGTCATTCTTTCCTTAAAAGTTTGAAAGAGAAGGCTCTGTTGGTGGTTCATTTTTTAGTATAATTGATTGTTCGCAATTCATTCTTTAGGATGAGATACTCTTGATTGTTGTATGCATGACTGAAGGCTGTCCAACCTTTTATATTCATTCTTAATTATATTACATGTAAGTTTATGGATGTTATTTTGATGTTTGAATGGTATGCTCCTTTTTTATATTGTTGTATGCATGACTGAAGGCTGTCCAACCCCTAATCAATATTTTTAAGAGTTAGCATCATTATGTCGCTTTGCAGGTTAATTGTTAACAAAGTTGTTTAAATTTAATGAGAAGGAGAACACTCTAGAAAGCCAAGTGTCTCCAACAAGTCCAACACGAAAGAAGTGAGATCTAAAGTTTGGAATGATTTTACCTTAGAAACTAACGATAGTTCTAGTAAAGCCAGGTGTAAGCATTGTAAGCATGACTTGGTGGCAAACAGTAGTGATGGGACAAACCACCTTATTCGTCATTTTAGGGGTTGTCTTTAGCGTCCACATCAGGATTTGCAATAGTCATTAGCTGGGCACCTTGAAACGTTTAAGTTGACCAAGAATTAAGTCGTAAAGCGCTTGCAAAGATGATAATTGTTTAAAAGTACCCATTTCGTCTGGTTGAGCACCCAGCTTTTAGAGAATTTGTTAAGACCCTTCAACCCAAATTTAATATGGTCGGATGAATTACAATAAAAAAAAATTATTGCATGGCTATATATCAAGAGGAAAAAGAAGAAGTGATGTTTGATGTTTTAAAGACATTGAACGGTCGAGTGAGTCTTACCACTGACCTTTGGACATCCAATCAATCTCTTGGATACCTTTGTCTCACGACGCACTATATAGATAGTGATTTGATTTTAAGAAAAAATATCATAAATTTCAAGTTGGTACCATATCCGCACCCAGGTTTAGTTATCTTTGATGCAACTGCATTTTCTATTGGAATTTGAAGGATAAATTGTTTGCTATTATTATGGATAATTGCACTACTAATGATGTGCTAGTGAAAGAATTAAAAGAGAATTTATCTAAAAAGCTTTTACTTGGAAGGGAATCACTTTCACATGAGATGTTGTGCACACATTTTGAACATTATAGTGCAAGCAAGGTTGAGAGTAATACATAGTGCTATTGAAAGAGTGCGTGAGATTGTTAAATATGTTAAGGCATCTCCATCTCGCATGCATGTATTTAATGAAATTACAAAATAGTTAAGAGTGCCAAGTACAAAGGGTTTAGTCTTGGATGTTCCCACAAGGTGGAACTCCACATTTGACATGCTTCAAAGTGCATCGACCTATAAAGAGGTATTTGCTCGATATGCAAATAGTCATCATTATGATAGTCCTCTATATATAGATGATTGGAATAAAACTGAAGAAATTTGTATGTTCTTAAAAGTTTTTAAGGAAACTACAAATTTATTTGTTGGAAACAAGTATCATGCAGCACATATTTACTATTCAGAGGTTTGGAGCATTCAAGATATCTTAATGGAAGCAGCAAATTGTCAAGATGAAACCTAGCATCGATAACTTTTGTGATGCAAAATTTTTTTTTCAAGTATTGGGGGGGTGAATGCAACTTGACAATGACAAGAACAACAATTTTGGATCCTAGTTCTAAGTTAAAGTTTATAGAATATTGTTTTTTGACAAGATATGGTGATGGTGATAAAAGTGAGGTGAAACTCAAGGTTGTTTAGGATAACCTCTAAGTGAGGTGAAACTCAAGATTGTTTAGGATAACCTCTATTGTTTGTATGAGAAGTATATGGGTTTCACACGGACAAAATATAAAAAAGAAGCAAGTAGTATGAAGTTCAAGCTCTTTGGTTGATAGAGGTGCAAAGAGGCTCCAAATAAAATTCAACCAATTCCTCAACCGAACTTCAGTTGCTCATCCCCAAAGCTCATATTTGGGTTATTATTTAGAGGATGATTTGGTTCCTCGAGGTGAAGACGAGGCATTTGACTTCTTATGTTGGTGGAAACTTAATGCATTGAAGTATGCTATTTTTCTATATTGGCTCAAGATATTCTGGCAATTCCGTTATCCACCGTCCCTTTAGAGTCGGCCTTTAGCACAGGTGGCCGAGTACTCAATCAGTATCATAGTTCCCTGCATCCGGATACTATGGAGGCTTTGATGTGTTTGCAAGACTGGCTCCGAGGTTACTGCCCTGAAGGTAAATAAATATTCCATGTCTTTAAGTACGGTCTTATTTATATATTCATTATGCATTTTAGTTTTGGTAAACCGATTGATATTTTTGCAACCGTCGAGAGCTCATCTTGTATGGACCAGGAGATAGAGGGATGATTGCTTTTGTTGTGAGTATTCTGGCATAATTCTTACTTTTCTCTATTCATGTAATTATTTAGTCTTCTCATTTTTTTGAAATCATGTTTTATAATGCACAGTTTTATGCAATTTTATGCACAGTTTTATGTAGTTTTATGCACTGTTTTATTCCCTAACCGTTAATTGTGGTACTTGCTTTGATGAAGTAACGTTTGCTTTGATAAAATTAACACATTGTTAATTGCTTTACTGTGTTAACTGCCAATTGTGTTAACTATCAATCGTGAATGCGTAATTTGTAATACACGAATTTACTCCTTGAATTCATTCCTCCAATGATCATTAAATAGAAACAGAGAAAATAGTAGCATTAGTTGCATCACTATTTTTCAAATTATTCTTATCAATATATTTAAGGTGAGGTTTGTATAGAGCCGAGACTCTAAACAATCAAAGTAAAGCCCATCTCCAAATAGTGTCGAGAAATGTGGTTTCAATACTAAAAATCTTTGTGATAGCTTTAAAATATAATTTTATCTTTAATTATAAAACAATCAAAGTAAATCCCACCTTCAAATAGTATCGAGAAATGTGTTTTCAATACTGGAAATCTTTGTGATAGCTTTAAAATATATTTTTATCTTTAATTATAAAACAATCAAAGTAAATCCCACCTTCAAATAGTGTTGAGAAATGTGGTTTCAATACTGGAAATATTTGTGATAGCGTTAAAATATATTTTTATCTTTAATTATAAAATTTAAAGCTTAAAAAATAGTATAGATCGAGCATATCTATGAAAACGTGAAAATCTGAAAAATTGACGGTCCAAATTGCATTACAAGATGCACTATTTTCAAAACTTGAAATCCATTTTCTTCTCATGTCTGTGCATCTTGATGTCAAGATGATCATTATGAAAATATTTGGGCATCAAAACAGCCTCATCTAGTGAAATTTTTGAGGTGGGCTCTAATTTGATTGTTTAGAGCTTCAGCTCTATATAAACCTTTTCCATACATTTATGGTTTCTTTGTGGTCATTTCTTTCATTTCGCAAGGTTGAAGATCTTAGGATCCCCTTTGAATGCTTTGACCCTGTGAAGGATGTTTCCTTCCAAAGAAGTACTACACTAGATATACTATCTTTGATATGATGGAAACATTTTCCTTTCCATTGTTGCAATTATCTTGTTTCAGCTTATGCATGGGGATCATTATATCCTTTAAACTCTTGTTACCTGCTAAGTTACTTGATGTGCCTGTTGTACAGGTTGTATTCATTGTTTGAGCCTGTTGTTTGGAATGGGCTGCCCCTTAGATGGTTGGGGCTGGTTTGATGAAATTGTTGAATGGTTTAGATGGTACTGCTTGCATGTAATTTTGAAGCAATAATAAGCCAAGAAAACATTCGGGATACATCTCTCTTATTTTGTTGTTTAATTACTTTTTTTTATGTATATGGAGGTTTTATGTAAACATTCGGGATACATCTCTCTCTGATATGCTTTGGTGCGTTTGATGGTGTTATTTGATTTATCTGGACAATTATTTATGAGTCTCTCTCTCTTTGTGGGTATTTTGCATGTGTAGTTCTAGTATTTTTTATTTAAAGAGGTTTTAAATTTTCAAAAAATTAATTAGCAATTTTTTTTTCTTTACTTCAAATCTTCAATTGAAAAGTCTAAATAGAAAGTTATGAATTTTTTTTTTTTATAGTAGTAATTGGGTCGGGCGTACCCTCATGTATGCATTTTCGAGACTTAGCGGGTGGGCTTGGTTTACGCATGAAATTTTAGGCTTTTAACTGGTCGAGTCCTATCGAGCTTACTTTCGGACTGGGACTAACTAACCAAGCTGGCCCGAAATATTTTTCGGTTCTTCGAGCCTCGGGCCGGGCCTTCTCAGAGCCCACCCATTGGCAGCCACAGCCACATTCAATTGGTAAGTGATGACATGATTTTCAGGATCACCCTTCTGGCTGAACTTGTTTATTCTCGAGAACATCCATGACATAAGATCGTGGAGGGAGTATATTTGGAATTTCAATTTTAGCCATAGTCTCTTTAAATGTAGTTAGTTCGCCTTTCAGTTGAGCGCTCAAGTGTCTTAGGGGTTTTAACCTCGGGGGTTTGTTAGTTGTCCAAAACTGATAACATAATTTGTGGTGCAAGTGATGCAGCAGATAGGGGTTGCCTCAAACTAGAGGCAAGGTGAGCATGTGAGAAGGTTGGAGCCGACATAAGTAAAGAGGCTTAGGCCAGTGCGGTCGGAACCTAGAATGGAGTAGGCGTAGGCAATAGTGCCAGAGCCGGATTGACTAGAGGATAGTATAGGTAGGTCTGAGCAGTGACTTGGATTGGAGGAATCGAGGGCTAATTAAGCCGGTGTCGAGGCCTGTAAGTGGACAATGGGGGTCTGCTGCACAGGATATCCCGGGCAAGGATGATTTGAGGCTAGAAGTGCGATTGGAGGGTATGGAGTCAATTGGTATGGCTGATATGGGGGATATTGAGTTGGAATAAAGGTTGAATAGGCCACCTGCGACTTGATGGTAAGGACTCGAGAAAGCTTAAAGAGGTTGTGCCAGTGGGTGACGATACATGACCTGATGAGGATCAGGTCTGGACTAACTTCAGGATATACAATCATGTGGTCGAGCCAGATCTACAAGAGTTGGAGGATGAGAAGATTAGTGGTGTTGGCTCTCCAACGGGATAAAACTCACGTGACTTTGTTGGTTAAGGCTAAAGAGGTTCTCTGACTCTGACTTGACTGACGACTTGATGTCTTAGGTGAGGTGTGTGGTTGAACAAGGTCAGCACACCTCAAGAAAGCCTTGACTGAAGGTAAGTTCTTGAACCTCTCAATTGTAAAGGTGTCACAGAACTCGGGGAGTTCTAAATCAAAGAGACGGAACTCAGGGTGCATGCCTCCATTGAGTGAGATCTTACGACTTGGATTCTGTCTTTTAGAGCCCTTAAAATTGGTATTTTGAGGACCCCGACCTAACTGGACTGGACCCTCGCCTTGAGGAGGTCAACTCAAGTCTAGCTGACCCTGTGAATTAAGGGGAACTGAAGTGTCGTTGACGGTGTAAATTTTAGCAACACCTCCCCTAGACCTGGACTTTTGTGGAGGTGGATGGTGCGCTTTTAGTTGGGAAGCATCAAATCTAGAGCTAGATGTGGGTGGTGTGCCCCTAGTTGGATAGCATGATTTTACATTTCTACTTTTTGAGGGGGTATTTAGAGGTTTGAAATAGGGTTAAGGTTGAAATTAATCCAAATAATTTGTGGGTTAATTAGGTTTTATCTAAGGATTTTTTCAGATTTTTTTTTGTTAATTTTATTCATTTTTGGGGCTTGAAACCGATGCAAAACTTTCTAGAACGTTAGTGGATCGAGTTGGGCCCATCAAGCCATTCTACACGGGACTTGGTGACCCGCATGACGTGTAGACTGTCGGGTGGCTCAGCACGACATGCTGCATGTCATGCAGGTCGCCTAGGCCCATTAGGCAGAGACTAAAATGTCATTTTTTGGAACTTTCAAATTGAAAGACCGATTCAAGTGATTCTTGGACCATTTGAAAGCTCTCGGGGTCTACTACAACTCGAGATAAGTTTTTAGCAAATTTGAGATAATTATATTGAGTCTAAGTTGCCTATAGTGTATTAGGATTTGTATGGCGCTTTGGCCTCGTAATTGAGGTTTTTAAAAATTCCCTTAACCAGAATTTCGAAAAAAACGTCTACATTTCTATAGCCTATATTGAAATTAAACCATTTTTGATAAGCTATTAACCCTAGTTTCAAACCTCTATTAACCCTGTTTCAAACCTGGCATGGCTACCAAACCTAGATTTGAGGCCCCCACCTAGATCGAAAACCTGGCATGGCTACCAAACCTAGATTTGAGGCCCCCACCTAGATCGACCGCGGGTCAAAAGAAGGGGCCCAAGGCAGGTTATTTAGAGCATAGGAGGGCCAGGCTAGGCCATTGTCACTCCTAAATTATTAACATGTGATATTTATATCACCTGGAATATTTACAACTGCAAAAAAAAAATGATTTGTTCCCCAATCATGGGTTGTACAAGACACCGTATAATTGGTGATTGTGACAACTAAGAACAATATAGCTTGGTAGTGTTTTGCAAAATGTAGACCACTTATATCAGGGTCAGATCAACCACCAAATTAGTGAAGGCTCTAATCAAATCAAAACGACTCATTTCTTATCAAACAAGTTGGATTAGATTTTTGAAAAATAATAAAAAAGAAATAATAGTTTAAATATATAAAGTATATTATAAAACATAGCAATTTTGTTAAACCAGTTCAACTAGTTAAAACCAACCAGTCTAATCAGTCAATGTTGACCAAACATTGATTTTCATAGCTCGTTTACCACCAATATTTTACTTTATACCAGAAAGCCAAGGTACCAACAAGTCTAATCGGCCAATGTTGATCAAACATTGATTTTCATAGCTCGTTTACCACCAATATTTTACTTTATACCAGAAAGCCAAGGTAACAACGAGTCTAATCGGCCAATGTTGATCAAACATTGATTTTCATGACTTTTCTACCACACCAATTTTTTACTTTATACCAAAAAGCTAAGGCACCAAATGGTAATCGGACCAAGCAATCCAATCGGATCTCCCAATTCTATTCAATCGCACCAGTTGTTAATCGGATCTTCCAAGTAACTATATTTTAGTACAAAAACCCATAAAAGTCTTGCTGGTAGATTTTGGATCTTCCAATTATATTCAATTGTGAAGATATGATTCCACTAATTCCCCACATTCATTGGATGGACTGGATTATGCACCACATGGTTGAAAGTGCTCTCTCTCTCTCTCTCTCTCACATACGTTAATGCATGAATTTCGCTCTCATATAACAGCATTATCGCGCATTTGTTGCCTACAATTTGCAACACGCACCCAGTATGAACGAAATTTTCCATTAATGCACAAGCCACAGCAAGTTTACTTACACAGCTTTCTAGCTTTCCAGTAAGCAATTAGTCTCTCACGTATTCACTGGGTCAGTGAGGAATTCCACAGGAGTCAATATACTTGAGAAAGAGGATTTAAAAGCCCAAATCTCTAAGCTGCAATCGACTATTCTAGCCTAGCCACCGTTAATGGTCATGATTCAGGTTTGCTCTTTTCCTTCTTTTCCTTTTAGTCATTAGATTCTTGTTCACTGGCCTTCATATTTCTGTGCACATGGTCCAGGTAGCCCTGTCAAACATGAGCCACAGTCAACACAAGCTTTATTTATCCAGAGAACCAAGTGCATATATATATATATATATATTGAGAGAAAGACAGAGAGAGAGACCAACCTGAAGTATTACCTACTGCAGCAAACTTGTCTATGATTAGTTTTAACTGCACGTGGGTATATATATATATATATATATATATATATATATATATATATATATTA